GGGGGTATAGAGGAAGACTGGCTTGGGGATTTAAACCTAGACATGGCAGCCACTGAGGGGAGATCCATGCGGTTTTGCCAGAGTGCAGACCCCCACAGCTTAGGACAGAGAGTACCGCAGGCTTTGCCAGAGTGGGGACCCCTTCCCAGCAGCTTAGGTGAAGAGAGAGCCACGTGCTTTTGGCCAGAGTGCAGACCCCCGTAGCTCTGGTGGATAGCAGCACCATGCGGTTTTGACCAGAGTGGGGACCCCCACAGCTCTGGTGGAGAGAAGAACCCTGCGGCTTTGGCCAGAGCGGGGACCCCTGAAGCTCTGGTAGGAGAGGACCACACAGCTTTAGGGCGCTCCCTTTCGCCGCGTGGTTTGAGAAGCAGGAGAAGCTTTGCCTGGAAGAAGGGTGAAAGAATTCTTGCCAGTAGGCCATGAGGAGGTGCCACATGGCTTTGGATTAATTAGGGATCCTGCCTGGATGGCGACACAGCTGACGGTGCCAGCGGCCTGAAACACGGACGTGTGCTTCTTTTCGGGAGATACAGTACCCCGAATTAGGGCAGGGGAGAAGGAAATACTGTGGGCATCTATGGGAATCCTAAAGGACTTTGATATTTCAATGAAGACATTAGGTCACTACTTTAAGTCTACATAACATTAAATAAACATTTCCTTTCATTTTCACAGATCTCTGGCATTGAGAGATGAGATGTCCTTCCTATCTGGCGGCAGACATAAAGAACCTGGTAGGGGGTCCTTTCAGTAATATCATGACCCCCCCTTGGCCCTGTGTGTGCCTTGTGTATCTGTTCTGTAACAATATGATTACAATTTATGAAAGATACAATCAAATAAAATTAAGGGTGCAAAGACAGGAGACTTCTCATTTATTTGACAGTTAGGAAAGGCTTTTTTTAAGGAAATGCCAATAAAGCTGAGACCTAAATGATGAGTCCGAATTAGTGGTGAGTAGAGGGAGTGGTGGTGGCAGAAGGCGCAACATCACATCGTCAAGACCAGGGGTCAGCAAATGTTTTCTCTAACAGTTCAGAGAATAAATATTCTCAGCTTTGCTGGCCATACAGTCTCTGTCTCAGGTCTTACTGCAAAGCACTCAGCTGACACCTTCCACAGCTAGAAGTTATCAAATCACCTCTCTAGGCATCTAAGCTCCCAGGTCCCTCCAAAGAATCTACACATATAGGAAATGGCACATTAGAGCCACTCATTTACTCATTTTTCCAACATGTTATAGGGAACAGAAGCAGAGAGGCATGGACTAGGGAGATGGGAGGGGCAGATACACAGTACTTCTAAACCCAGCAACAAAACCTGGTGGACTTAGCTCTGCCACCGTAATGCAAAAGATGATACATAAATGAATGAGGATGGCTGTGTTCCAATAAAACTTTACTTATGGCCACTAAAATTTTAATTTCATATAACTTCCACAAGTCACAAAATGTTATTCTTCTTTTGACTCTTGTTCAACCATTTGAGAGTATAAAAGCCATTCTTAGCTTCCAGGACATCCAAAAGCAGGCAGTAGGCCAGACTGGGCCCCTGGCCCAAGGCCTAGTCAAGATTCTGAAGTACTAAGAACTGGGTGTGTTTGAGGCACCCTGAGGGGATCCCTGTGGATGGACTGGGGAGAGCAAGGTGAGGAACACACAGTAAGCACAAAGAAGGAAGCAAAATGGACATAAGACACCATCTTCTGGGCAATGTCACAAATTTCGGAACTCATCCTACCAGCAAAGGCAACAAAGTGCTATAATGAGAAAAGAAAATAAGTTCTCCCCTCAACACACACATTTTCTTACCCCTTGGCTAAAAGCCATCCACCAACCTCTATGGCCAAATAAGTCCTTCACAAACTGAGCCCTGCCCTCATTTCCTACGTTACCATAAATGAACTATAGTCAGTCAGTCAGTCAGTCTGTCTGTCTCTCTGTCTCTCTCTCTCTCTCTCTCATCCTTCCTGTCTTCTCTATTAGGCAAAATTTCCACTCATATGTTGAGGCTCATCTCAACTCCTCCAGGAAGTAAATTATTTTCTCAGAAAACACTTCGCACATTCCTGCATCACAGTGCTTAGCACACCTCCCCGTGGTTCCTTTCATGTCTCGTCCATCTGCCCACTCCCTCCTTATGTGCCCCCGCCGTTATGCCCAGTGGCACCTCTGCCACTGGAAGGAAAGACTGAGTCCTCTTTGTGCCCATGTCCCCAACGCCTACCACAGGACCTCGGTTAAAATTCGGCAAATTAAGGAATGAATAAAGGGCAAACAAACGACAGCCCAATGAACCCAGCACACAGAGTCCGGTGGTCGGAAAGCGAATGTGCAGTTGGACAGCTCTGCAGAAGCTATCTAACTTCCCTGTGCCTCAGTCTCCCGTGACCCCACTGAAAACAGGGTACTGTTTACTGGTTCTTCAGAGCCTTTAGCACCAAAAGTGGTCTCTCAAGTCTGCAGGAGAGCAACGTCAGCAACACCTGGGAGCTTGTTAGAAATGCAAATTTTCACTCCCTACCCCAGGACTACTAAATCAGAGTCTGCGGTTTAACAAGATCTCCATGTGATTTATTTACACATTAAAGTTTGGGAAGCACTATAAGCCATCTTGGCCAGGCCTTTAAGGAGATGCTAAAACTGATTTGAGAAATAGCTTTAATTTTCAATTTGCAATCATAGCTAAACCAAAGGGAATCTCGGCAAAAATTCCTGTGTGTGCTTACCAGAGAAATAAAAATAAATTTAAATTTTTTTCAAACACATTTAAGGCTCAACCTTCAGGTAGTTAAATATGCAATGAAGCAGCATTTAGAGCCTTACTCAGAAAACTCTGAAATGGAATTGGTTAGATAGAAGGATAAATGGATGAATGGATGGTTTTTGAGAGTCACAGTCAGGGCCATGCAATCTAGACTTTATTTTCTATGGGCTTTATTTAGTGCATTTTGAGCTCAAGTGCACTATGGTAAGTATCCTGAGAGGTTCCTGTTGAACGTATATTTAGATGTGGACCCACAGACCAGAGCTGGCCATGAAGTAGGTGTTCCATAAGGCCCTGATGATGCACCAATGACCACCTGCCTGGTCCTCCTCTCTTAATACAGACTCTTTCTTATCCGTGGCCAAGAAGGGTGATAAACCCAACCTAGTTCGTTGTTCTCTTGCACCACTTTTCGGCAGGCTTGAAGAAACCACTGCCCTCCTTTCTGGCCCTACCCTGAGCAGCACCCATGCGGAGGGATTTTAGTGCTGTGTGACCTGATTGGGTGAGCTGGGTTTGGAGCCCGGGAGACATGGGTTTAAATTCTGGCCCTACCATCTATTTGGGAAAGGCATTTAACCCTCCCTCTCAGCCCCAGTCCCCCATGTTCTCCTCCAGGCACAGCTTGTCAGGAGATGAAATCAAGCGATGCCCAGAGAACACACAACAGAGTGTGGGGGCGGAGAAGGGCAGCTCTATCTCCCGATTTTGTATTCCAGCATATGTTTGGATCAGGTTTTCAAATGTTATAGATGGAAAAAATGATGTCTGGGATGAGAACTGCTCTGCCCACAGTCACACAGTGTGCTGTTAGCGGAGACAAATCAGGATCCCGAAAACCCCAACTCCTAGGACACCCTATGTTTTTGAACTGTAGTAACTATAAAAGCCTTTCTAAAAATTAAAACTCACAGAACAGCTATACATACAGAACACAACAAGCCAAGCCTGCTCAGATTACTGACACCCTTTTTGCTTATCTCCCTTCTTCCCCATGGGAAGAAAGGCAATCCAGGGACCCCTTCTCGGCATCCTTAAACTCCCCCCATCCCCATATACATTTTCCACAGAGCCACCAAATAAATCATGCCAGGTCATACTCATTAGATGGAGTCTCTCCTCATCAGACCACCTACGGGTTTTCTAGTCCAAGGTTCCCTGAGGACGTGAACCTTCTCACACATCCAGCTCTAATGGGAACCATTAAGCTGACATCACCATTCCCCACACCTCATAAAGGATCCTAACATCTGGAAGTAGCAACCACCTGCAAGGGCTTTGACCAGAGATCACCATATCAGTCAAGGACACGGAAACTCACGGTCAGGGGAGATAAGAAAGGAACCCCCGAAAATGCCACCAAGGACAGAGACCAAACACCTGGGGCTACAAGTGTGTAGAGGAAGAAGGTTCTGGTCAGGGAATCTGGATTATAATCCCAACTCTGCCACTTCCTCCCTGGAATGGTAATTAACATCCCTGAACTTCAGCAGAGGACGAGGTATTAAGAGAACCAATTTCAGAGTCAGCCATTCTTGGGTTCGAATCCTGGTTCTGTCACATACTTACTGTGTCACTTTGGGTGAATTGGTTAATCTCTTTTGGCTTTAGTTTTCTTCTCTATAAACCACACACCAAAAAAGTAAAACAAACCCTTCTCCACTGGACTGCTATTAAGACTTAAAGTGATCATCTGGGTTAAACATTTATCACGCTGCCTTGCACAAGTTAAACTATGAAAACAGGAGTTGATTTAACTGTAACCTAATCAATAAAATGGGATCAACCTTCCTCAGAGAGCTGCTGGGGAAAATCAAACATAATGGACTTTAGCAGGGTGCCTGGTACAGGCAGATCTACAACGAATGGAATCCGCTATTACAGCGGACCCTGAACAACACAGGTTTGAATTGCACAAGTCCACTTACGTGCAGAATTTTTCAATAAATACATAGAGTACTACAAATGTTTTTTCTCTTCTTTATCATTTTCTTAATAACATTTCATTTTATCTAGCTTACTTTATCATACGAATACAGAATATAACACATATAACATATAATATATGCACTAACCAATTGTCTGTGTTATCAGTAAGTCCTCCAGTCAACAGTAGGCTATTAGTATTTACATTTTGGGAGACTTGAAAGGTATACACTGATGTGGGGTGTTGACACCATTGTTCAAGGGTCAACTGTATCAATACCCTCTCCCCAACTCCATGCACTCACCTCCTTTAGCCACAGAAGCTTTGGGGCCTGCATTTCCACAGACATCACACCCCCCACGTACTGCAGGACGCTGTGCTGGGTTTCGTTGATCCTGTGCACCTGACTGACTGCACGGTGGTCCAGCCACATGATGATGTTTCGGTGAGAATCCCCTAGCAGAAACAGGGCAATGAAGACATGTGTGCACGGCGCTCTCCCCGCTGGGGGCTCTCCAGCACCTCTGCCCTCCCCTCCCCCTTCCCTGCAGGAGAGTTACTGGGACCCTTCTCTCCCCTAAGCTCCAAGGGCCCTTCTTTTGCCTCAGTAACTTGCTTCCTGAGCCCATTTCTTCTACCATTCACTTCTCCTACCCTGTGACTTTCTAAACGAATTTTCTCTTATAGTTTAAGAAAATAAAAAGAAATGTGTGCATTATTATTCTTCTAACTCAAGGGAAATTGTGGATTTCCAAGAGCAAAGAGCTATTCGACCTTTACAATTTCACCCATCAACAAGGAGCAGGTGAACACTCTCACAAAATCTTGGATTTCCCTCCAAGAGATAGATGTGTTCATTGACTATAGACCCCAAGGTTAAACCTCTACACTAAAACCAGTCAAGACCTCCCAACAAATTATATTATCATCCATTCTCTCTTACTTCTTCCTTCTTTTCCTGTCCCTTCTGTTCCAGAAAAACTTTTCCGGGCATGTATTCAGGAAAACAGCCTGTGAAATAAGCCTACTCTGGTTGTTTATGATCTGTCTCCTTTAAACATGGACAAATATTTCAACGGTATTAATACATCTACACAATGGCTTTGCTCTGTTCATATGCAACTTTCTTCTAGTCATTTTAATTAAAATTGGTTAATTTAAGTCTTTTCCCTCTCTCAGATGTTTTTTTTGGTGGAGTGAGAAGTACATGAGTTTGGGAATCAAGCAGACCTAATGGGGAATGCTTATTCAGTTATGACCAGAGATGTACTGAGAAACTTTTAAACTTTTCTTAGCCTCAGTATCCTCATCTATAAAGTGGGGATAACAACACCTAATAGCATATAAGGATTAATAATGTGCATAAAGAATATAGCAAGTACCCAGCATATAGTAGACCTTCAGGAGGAGTGAATTACAAGGAACAAAATTTAAAAACTGGAAAAGGAGCAAAGGTGCCTCTCCTCACATCCTACATGTACCATCTTACACCACACAGTAGTGACCGTCCCTTTCTCCTGTCCCCAGCCCCAGTTAACTCATCATTACTGATTGGCAAGCCAGTCAGTATTTCCTCAAATGGCAAAATGCCAAGAATAGCAATAAATATGACTAGGAAATAAGACAGACAGAAAAAAGGGAACTCACAAGTAACTGAGCCAGGCACTTTCACACATGATTTTAGTTAATGATAGAATAATTACAGCAGCTACATCTGTAACTTTGCTAACAGCAAATATTCATAAAGCTCTGTTTTTGAGTGTGTGTATGTGTGTATACCAAGCCCTGCTAAACATTTCACACATACATACGATCTCATTTAATTCCCAAAACAATCCTCCGATTTATGTTGCTTTCAATGGCAAGCTGACTAGGAAGTTGAACACATGCCTACTATCTCCCAGCTGGGAAAAGCATGAAGTGTGCTTTGAAAACAGATCTGTACAGAGAAATGATAAGTAAATTGGTAAAATAAATAAACTAGAGTTACACACATTGACATGAGTAATGACACCAGCTGGGACATTTTTAAACATGATATACATACATTGTTTGCTGCTGTGGGTACAGACCTGTGTGGCAAAAGCACAGAAACGATGTGTTTGTGAACACCAACCTCAGCAGAACGGTCACCTGCTGGGCAGAGGGGTGCAGCAGGGAGAAATTTCCCTCCTGGGCTGAAACACGTGCTGAAATTTCAAGCAGTTCTTTCTTTTTTAAAAAAGGGAGGGGGGCACTTAAGATGAATATGGCAAAATTTCAGTTGTCTACCCTTAGTAGTGGATACATAGAAAGCTGTTATTTATTTCTCATATATCTGAAAAAAGAACTTTTAAAACTTAAAAGAAAGTCAATCTAACAAAATACGTAAATTAGGTCATCATCACCAGAAGGAGCCCAGGATTCAGTCACTGGGTTGCCTGCCTAGAAAGATTTCAGTTTCCACAAAAGTTCCTCCAGAAACAGGAACACTTTGAAAATAAGAGAAAGTACATAAGACCTTCCATAGGTACACCTCAGATTTGGCTTTAACAGCTGAGTTATTCTACCACATAATAGAATTGCTTAAAGGTCTGGTTCCGGGTCCTTGTTGCACACAGAATCCCTAAATAGCTTTAGAAATACTGCTCTCCACATCCCCTTCCAGGTCTGTCAGCGAATCAGAATGCTGGGGTGTGGGCACACACGTGTGTGCACACATACACACAGACATGCATGTGTGTGGGTTTGTGGATTTTCAGGAGAACAATTTCAGCGTTGCTTGTTAAATATTGTATAGGACGTACCTGCAGCTGCTTGAAGACAAAAACACCTGTGGCTAAACTGGCGACCACAAAGGACCAATCATCTAGCAATGCCTCTCCATGAAAGGCTCTCAGCACATGGTCAGAATGACACAATGAGAACTGTGCAGACTTGGGTACTTTATTGTACTTACTATGATTATTAATTTTTAAGTTTATACAAAATGGGCAAGTTCATCTTTTTTGGTTCTTATAGAATACCACAAATAAATGACTCTGCTGAAAATTCATTTCGTCTTTAATTGAGCACCTACTACACTCCAGGCACAGTGCTGGGATACCAAGAAGAATGTGCCACAGTCCCTGCCCTGATAAAGTGTGTGGCTGAACGAACAAAAAGGGTCTATATGCTATGCCGTCTGCCAGAATCACTGGACATGAGAACACTGAGGCGGAGCAGCACAGGGAAGGCACTAGTTCGCTGGGTCTGAGTATGCACAGAGAGCTTCCGAGAGGCAGAAAAGCTTTAATTGCATTCTAAAAAATGGTCCTTGGTTAGCCAGGCACACAAATGAGGAAGGACACTCCATACAAACTGAGCACAGACCCCAGAAGATGTCATATTTAAGAGAACTGGAGGTAATTTGGTAGAGCAGAGTTTGGGTTACATTAGGCATACCTCACTTTATTGCACTTTGCCTTACTGCACCTTGCATATATTGCCTTTTTCACACATAGAAGATAAGACCTTCCACCAGCAAAAAGACTGTAACTCACTGAAGGCTCAGATAATAGTTAGCATTTTTTAGTAATAAAGTATTTTTAATTAAGTTACATACATTGGGCTTTTTTTCACATTTATGCTAGTGGACACTTAATAGACTACAGTATGTAGTAACTGTAACTTTAATATGCAGTGGAAAATTCACGTGACTCGCTTTATTGTGATATTCACTTTATTGCAATGGTCTAGAACCAAACCTGCAATGGTTCCAAGATATGCCCATAGTCAATTTACCCTATGGACAGTTTATTTATCCATGTATTCATTGAATCAATATTTTGAACACCTCATAGGAAGTGTTGCAGGCATATTTGAGGAGGAAAAAATCACTACTATGAATCAGCAAAAACATCTAAGTATTAGGTGTCTGTTGCAGAGCAGCCTAGGTAGTTACCTCCTTCCTTGGCCCCTTGGTTCCCCGACTGCCCTCCCTCCCGAGAGGTCTGGTAGCTGGGCTGGCCCTCCCACAGTTATGCTTTCAGCTGGATGCTGCAGAGAGAGGAAGCAGGCAGCGTGGCGCCGCTGTCCAACCCACGGGCTGCTCTGGTCTTCAAAGGAGGAAAGATCAAACAAGAAGGGCCTCACAATGAGACTATTTCATCATATAGCAATGATTAGTGTTCTTAAACTACTGTACTTAAAACATATTTGGGCCTGGGGTTTTTCATGTTTTTGTTGCTATTTGGGGGGTTTTGTTTGCGGGGGTGATTAATATCTAAAGATGGTTAACAGTATTTCCTATCTGATAGGTTTGGTTTCAACAGCCACCATGGTTAATTTCCTGACTCCACTCCCTGCTCCTCGTGGTTACTCCAGTTAACCAATCAAGTGTTGGTCACTGCCATGTGGGTATCAGCGGTCTTTAAAGAATCTTTAAACCACCTTTAAACTTCTAATTTTATTTTCTAACACAGGATAATCTATTTCAGATAAAATCTAACCTTAATAGAAGCTGTTGAAAGGCAACACACGGGTAAGGGGCAGCTGAATGCATTTGATGAATGGGTACATTTTAACCTTTTAGGGGAAATAAAATGATTTCAACACTTATAATTAGGGTTGCAACCTAGCTACCCTTTTAACAGAAGGCCTGTTAACAGGAGGCAATTCTACCTACAGTGAGAAGAAAGACGGCATCCAGAGAAGGCACATTAGCGAAGCAGACAGAATACGGAACTCTCGTCCGCCACTTCGGCGTTCTTGTTCCTGAGAGTTTAACTGTCCCTTCATCTGTGCCCAGTGATTCTCCGATACTAGAATTCCCGCGGGGAGTTCAAAAGTGCTGTTGCCCTACCGTCACCCTAAGCCAACCGAATACGGATTTGGGAAGTTTAGGCTCATGAATTGATTCTAATTTACAGCCAGAATTTAAAAACAAACAAACACATACAAAAATGTACTTTTAGCAGATTAGAAAGTATAGAATCCTTGAAATTTAGGGCTTTTAACATCCAAAATCTCACCCCAAATGAGAATTCCTTCCTCAGCACCTCTAACAGACTATCACCTGGACTCGACTTAAAGAAAGCTAGCCCTGACTGGTGTGGCTCAGTGGGTTTTAGGAGTCACACCACAACCCAAGAAGTCATGGGTTCGATTCCCAGTCAGGGCACAGGCCTGGGTTGTGGCCCAGGTCCCCAGTTGGGGGTGTGTGAGAAGCAACTAATCAATGTCTCTCTGGTGCACTGAAGTTTCTCTCCCTCTCTTTCTCCCTTCCTTCCTCTCTCTCTAAAAATAAATAAATAAAATATTTTTGTTGTTGTTTAAACTTTTAAAAAAGATTTTGTTTATTTATTTTTAGACAGGTGAGAAAGGAGGGAGGAAGCGAGGGAGAGAAACATCAATGTGTGGTTGCCTCTTGCCTGTCTGGCCTGCAGCCCAGCCATGTGCCCTGAATGGGAATCGAACTAGCGACCCCTTGGTTTGCAGGCTGGTGCTCAGTCCACTAAGCCACACCAGCCAGGGCTAAATAAATAAAATCTTTTTTAAAAAGCCAATAAGAGAAGTGCTGACAGCCTCCTAACATGACCAGCTCCCTGTGTGGACACATCTCATAACTGGAAAGTGCCTGCTGCTGTGGAAATGAGGTCTGCTGCCTCGGCCTCATCCTTTGCTCTCTGCTTCAGAATCATGCCAACTGAACTAGTAAAAGTCAGCGAGAACAAGGACCATTCATAATCACCTTTGAAGCCCTAGCACTTAATAACAGGGCTTGGCACAAAGTAGGCGCTAATAAATATAGCAAAAAGGAGAGAAGTGTGTGTGTGCACATGTGTGTGTAAAAAGGTCATCACTACTCCTGTGCTCTAGCCATGCATCCATTTGCATCCTTTTTTGTCACATGTAATTTATAAAAATCATTGTTCTACACATTAGGTCCATAGAAGTGAATAGGACACAGTAACTTAACTTGAGGAATTCATAATTAGATAGAACAAACTTTTCTGAGCATTCAGGTGTCTGGCTCTCAATTCTCACAGCAAAGCTACCATTTCACTGTTCCGACGCTTTCAGAGGAAAAAACAGACATGCAGAGGTTCAGTGCTACTGCTCAGCAGGATGCCTGCTCAGGTTCAGTGCCACAGCTGCGGGATCTGCCCAACGCCAACCCCCGGGTGTCCCGGTGTGCCCCAGGACCCGCAGCCACCACTTACGATGCTGCTACAGGAGTGGCCACTACTTAGGGTCATAAACATAATCTAGCCCAAAATATGTTTGTCACAGCTGTATTGGCAGCAACTGACTGACAACACCTAGAGCTTCGTTCCTTTGGATTCAATTTCCAATACACGGTAATCTTCACCATTCCCAAATGTTTCTGCTCGTTAAAAAGTGGAGTATCAGTTGAAGTTTATCATCGTGTATTACCTACCTGACCAGTGTAGACTTCTGGGTTTCAACCTCAGGACTAGCGCTACTGACTGAAATTCCCTAAAAGGGATACATTCTCAACCCAGTGTGAAAAATTTCTGATGGGGAACCCAAGTGGCATTTTACATCTGTGCAGTCACAAGAACTGTAGTCACAAGTGTCTATTAGCATGGTGTCATTAAATGGGAATGTCCTTCGGTCTGGCAATTGAAAATAGAGAGGCCATCTGTTCCCACTTTCTCTCTGATACCTGGTCCTGTCAGCCTTGTTCTATTTCCCTTTAATGGACTTGGCTTACCCACTCAAATGAATGTGGCATAGGAGCTTCATAGGCAAAGCAACTGCAGACACTGATACTCCCTTCCTAAAAAAAATCCCAGACCACTTGTCTGTTTCAAGGCTACCCACTCTGAGCTAATGATCCCCTGTCCTTCCTTCATCAAGCTCTCTACTGTGGCTTTTGTTCTTTATGGAGCCATGTGTCTCCCTAACCCCGGCCCCTGAGGCCACCCCACTCCTACCAACTGCTCTCCAAGCTTTTAACCTCTGGGACATGATTTTTGGCCTCTACGCTCCACTTCGAAATCTCACTTTCAATGGTAAGAGACTGGCGACCTCATATCCCACTTGGCCCTGTGGCTTTATCAGCCAAGTCTGCCCCAGCCAGTTCCCCACCACCAGGGAAAGGGGGGGAATGGTCCTACCTTCGTGGTTGACCGGTAAGGGACGAAACTGCTTATCCAAAACCACCAGAGAACACGTGGCATCAAACCCAAGCCCCCGGATTTGGTTTGAATCGATCCCTTGCACAATTTTCTGTTCCAAAAACAAACAAAAACATAAATTAGAATGCAAGGCTTTTAAAAGAATGAAAATAAGTTATGACTGCAAGAAAATGAGTGACAGAATAGAAAAGGCATTTACAACATAAAACAGATAAAAGTTCAATATCAGAAGATCCTATAAATTAATAAGGAAATAACAACCAATCTAACTGAAAATTAAGCAAAGGACATATCACTTCATAAAATAAAAATAGTCAAAGAACATATAGAAAGATTCCTAACTCTACTACAATTCAATTAAATATAAACTATACCAAATAAAAATATACCAGTTTTTGCTTTTCATGTCAACAAAAATGTAAAAGATTAACAATATATCATAGTGGCAAGACATGGAAAAGTAGACCTCCCAATTTAGTACAAATTTTGAAAAATAATTTTATAGTATTTGTTAAAATGTAGACATCCATTACTTTTGGTCAGCAATCCCACTTCTAGGGATCTATCTTAGCAAATTATTAGCATGAGCAAAGCAAGTTATTTGTAGACAAAGGTTAACTGCAGCACTGCTTATGAATATATTTAAAATTTAGAAAAACTATTTTCTATTAAATAGATTATGGCACATCTGCAAAATGAAATGTAACTATTAAAAAGAAAGAATTAGAGAAGCAATTTCTGGGTGTGGTGGTATGACTAAATCAGCAAATCCACTTAGCAAATTATAAGTAAAAACCTGGAAAAAATCATCAAAAACAACCATCTGAAGGGCTACCGAAATTGAATAAAACCACAGGACAAATTGAGAAGCATTCATTCTTGAAAAATCAAAATCGCACTTAAAGCATTCCCACTAAAAAAATTTTTTAAAAACTCTAGGACCAGATGGCTTCATGGAGAAATTAAACCAAAAAAAAAATAAAAAAATATATATATATATGAAAAAACTTGTTCAAGACTCAGTTAAAGAGGAACCATTTTCCAAACATTTTACACAGCCAGTATTATCCTGATATCCAAGCCAAAAAAAGAACAAAGACATTAAGAAAAGGACACTCTCTAGACCAATAACTGTCACGAACATAGCTATAAAAATACTTAACGAAATATTAAGAAACCAATCTTGCAAAATATTAAACAGCATTATACACCTGACTACATACATGATACCCCAGGAATACAAGGGTAGTTTAAAATCCATAAATTGATTAATGTATTAAGCAGAATAAAGCACAAGTAAATGCCAAATGATCATCTCAACAGATGCAGAAAAACAAAAACAAAACCCCAAAACACTCAATAAACCAGGAAAGAAGGAAACTTCCAAAACCTGATAAAGAGCAGCTATAGGAACCTGCAGCTAATATCATACTTCATGGCATGACAAAGTGATTCCCCCCTGATATAAACAAAGCAACAATACTCTTTCATCACTTCTATCAGTCTTGCAGTAGAGGTTCTAGCCAATGCAGTGAGGCAAGAAAAAGAAATTAAAAGCAAAAAAAAAAAAAAGTGAGAAGTGTGTTATTTTTCAGATGACATGATCTCATGTGAAGAAAATCCTAAGGAATCTACAAAGAAAATTAAAAAACTACTAGAACTAACAAGCAAGCTTAGTAAGGTCACAAGACACAAGACTAACATAAAAATCAATGGTATTTCTATATAATAGCAACTAAGTTATCAAAATTGAAATGAAGAAAACAATTCCATTTACAATAGCATCAGAAAATAAAACACTTAGGAATAAATTTATTAAAAGAAGTTCAAGACCTATACCCTATAAACTATAAAACGCTGCTACAAAAAAAAACCCCTAAAAATTGGATAAATGTGGGGGATATTCACGAAATGGAAAATTCAACATTGTTAAAACAGTATTCTCAAATTACTCTACAGATTCTACACAACTGCCCACCTATTAAAACCACAGCGATCATTTTTTAAATTTTCATTATATTTTTTCCATTACCATTTATCCCCTTATCTCCCTTCCCCCACTCATCACCACACTATTGTCCATGTCCGCGAGTCCTTTTTTCTTTTTAATTGATCCCCCAGCCCCACAGCTATCATCCTGTTATCCAGGAGTCTGTCTCTATTTTGCCTGTTAGTTCAGTTTGTCCATTAGATTCCACATATGAGTGAAATCATATGGTATTTGTCTTTCTCTGACTGGCTTATTTCACTTAGCATAATGTTCTCCAGTTCCATCTGTGCTGTCACAAGGGGTAACTATGGAACGTTTATACAGTGGAATACTACACAGTTGTAAAAAACCAGCAGATTGTTTTAGAAACTGACAAACTACTTCTCACGCTTACATAAAAATGTAAAGGACAAAAATGAGCCTAAACATTAATGAAAGGAAAAAACAAAATTGGAGAACTTATGTTACCTGATTTCAAAACTTACCAGAAAACTATCATTTCTTTTTTTTCTTCTTTTTTTTATAATTAATTTTATTTAGTTATTTTTCAAGTACAGTTTTTTGTCTATTTTTCCCATCCCAGCCTCCCCCGCCCCTTGCTCCCCAGAAAACTATCATTTCTAAGTCAGTATGGTATTGGCATAAGGATAAATTTATAGACCATGTACAGCAATATAAGAAATAAACCCCAAACTTTATGGTCAATTGTTACTGGATAAAGGAGTCAAGACAATTCAATGGGGGGGAAAGACAGTCTGTTTGATGATGGTGGTAGAATAACTAAACACCCCCGCACACAAAAAAAGACTCACCTCATCCCATACGCAAAAATTAACTCAAAATGTATCATATCCCTAAGTGTAAAAACTGAAACTATAAAATGTAGAAGAAAATCTTTTTTGGACCATGGGTTTGACAAAATATTCCTTAAAATGTAAAACTCATTTAAAAAATTGATAAATTTGGCTTCACTAAAACTTTAAAATTTTGCTCTTCAAAAGGCCTTAAGAAAAAGAGAAGATAAGCTGCAGACTGGGAAAATACAGGTAAGGACCCCCCCCCAAATGGAATTATCTTCTGGAGGGCAGGCCCCTTGTAGTACAGGCTTCCCCCATTAAATGAGTGTTCTAGGAACCCCTCTGTATCAGTGTAGCAGTTGGCATTGTGGGAGAGGCTGCGCCAGCATCAGTGAATTTTTTTGAAGACTCTTTCGATGTGTTTGCCCATTTCATGATGAGTGACCTATGAGCGCACCTGTCCACACCACGCTGAGTATCCAGCAGTTTTCAACAGAAACAGCATGACCCCTGTACACCACCCTGCCTATTTACCTGATCTCTCCCCAAGTGGCTTTTTTTTTCTGTTTCCCTGATGAAAAAAGTCCTAGAAGGGAAACATTTTGCGGGTGGGGAAGAGGTGAAACAAAAAATAGCTGAAGCACTAAAAGAAATAAAAAATCGACACATTCGAAACCTGTTTCAAGCAGTGGAAAAACATCTCAACAGGTGTGTTACATCAAACCGGAGAGGACTTTGAGGGTGACTGAAGTTTAAACAGGTAAGAATACACAATTTTTATAAATAAATTCAGTTTGGGGGGATCTCCCCTCATATATTTGTGAATCATACATCTGATGGTAGACTTGTATATAGAACTCTTACAACCCAATAATAAAAGGACAAATAATTCAATTATGAAATAGGTAGAAGATTTGAATACAAACTTTGCCAAAGGGTGAATAAGCACAAGAAAATATGCTAACATCATTTGTGATTAAAGAAATACAACTTAACATTACAATGAGATACTGTTAGATACCTACTAAACTGGCTATAATAAACAAAATTGAGAGTATCCAGTGTTAGGAAATTGTGGAGAAAGTGGAACCCTTATACACTGCTGGCAGAAATGTAAAATCCAGCCACTTTAAATAAAAGTTTGGCAGTTTTTTTAAAACATAACTGACCACACAAGCCAACAATTTGACACCTAGATACTTACCTGAGAAAAGTAAAAACATATGCTAACACAAAGACTTGTAGGTGTACATTCATAGCAGTATTAATCATAATACCCCCAAAATGTTAACAAATCAAATATCTGTCATGATTTAACCAAATGGTTAGACGAGGTATGGTATATCCATACAATGGAATAGTAGTACTCAACAAGAATAAAAAGCACAAACTACTCATATGCACAACATCATAAAATGAACCTTGGAATCGTTATGCTAAGTGACAGAAGTCACACACAAAAGAATGCACTTTGTATGAATCCATTTATATATAATTTCTGAAGAAGAGTAACTATTCATATAGACAACAGATAAAGAGTAGTCTACTGGCTAAGGACCGACAGGCACAGGGGACTTTTTGGGACAACACAAGTGTTCTAAGACTAGATTATGGTGATGATTTCACAACTGTGTAAATTTAATTTAAAAAAATCACTGAATTATACATTTAAAATGGATAGATTTTATGGTATGTAAAGTACTCCTCAAGCTCTTAAATAATTTTTTAAAACTTGAGCTATAAAGAGGTCCACAAGATATTAATAAGGTAAAAAACAAAAACAAAAAAGAATATACACCACATTGTTAATAGTAGTTACCTCTGAGAGCAGAGACTACTCTCCGCCAGATGGAGGAGACAGAAAATTTTTCGCTTCATTATGTAATTTTTAAAGTGGTAGAACAATATAGGTTTATAGGTTACTATTAGTTTTTATTTTTGTTTGTATGGTTTTCTTTTTTGAAAAAAGCATGATTAACCATAATCATTAATGTTTCCTGTTTCCCATTAACTTCAAACATGACAATAACCTTTTGAATCCCACAGAAGAGTCCAACCAACCCAAAGAGTCCATCCCCATCTGTAATGAATAATTCTTTCTTCCTGTTTCAGAATGTCAGACTTACAACCTAGGATTCTATTTTTCACTATCTAACATGTTCCTCACGTAAGACCTATACACAATTATAGATTTTCAACAAACAAAAGCAGTTTTTCAACTAATAATTCAGTAAATAATAAAATGTTACCATATAAAAATAGCTACTATGTGCCAGGTACTAATTTACATACATTATCTTATTT